TTATATATTTATATTAAGAAAATATCATATTTCATGTTGAATAGAATATATAAAAGAAAAGCTTTATTTTAAAAATCTTTTTATGACAAATAATTATATGTTTACAAATACAAAAAGCATAATAACAACGGAAAAAGTAAATAAGAAAAAAATGAATATAAAGACGTAGAAAATGATGATAATTTCGGATTGACTTGTATAGGTGGTGGTGATAAAATTTCTGTTTTTAAAATTTTTATTTTTCTTTCTTGACATAAATGATCATTATTACATAAATTTATATCCGAACAATTTAAATAATTTTCTAATTCATATAAATGTATACCTACATCTTGTTGTTTATATAATGATGTATCATTTTTAAATAAACACATTTGATTTAATTTAAATATTCGATTAATATTCGCATTGATTTGTTGTCGTTTCAAATGAAATACATTCATTAATTGACAATTACATTGTAATTTTATTTGACTATCTTGTATAATTTGTAATTGTGGATAATTTATTAATAAACAATTATCTAATGGTGAGATTTGTGTATGTTTAATATGTATTGATAAACGTTGAAGATTTTCAATACCACAAAAAGCATTTTTATCAATTGAATTTAATGGATTACCTGATAATGTTAATTGACGAAGTTTCGGTACATATTCAAATGTATATTCATCAATTGATTCAATTAAATTTGAACTTAAATCAATATCATCAATTGTATTTGAATGTAAATTTTCAATTGTTTTCAATTGATTATGTTCAAAAAGAATATATTTTAAATTTTTTAATTTTCCTAATGATGCAATTAATGGTTGACTATGAAATATATCTGGTAGATGTCGAATGAGTAAACGTTGAAGAGATTTTAAATATTCAATTGGTAATAAACTTGTTTGATGTGTATTTGTTAAACTTAAATAGGTTAAATATTCACCTATTGAATTAATATCATGATAACGATAATTATCTAGATAGATATTGATTAATTCTAAACGATATAAACGTGGTAATTGTTGTAATAATAATTCTAGATTTAATTTTTTATCATGTTTATTTATTTGATGATAATGAATATTTTTTAATGTTAAAGATTTTAAAGTTTGAAATGAATCGGATATGAATATATCTTGAAAATTTTCATTCGATGTTAAAATTGATTTTATTGTTGAATTTTCTAAATAGAATTTTTCAAATTGTTTTATATTTATAAATGATTGATCGTTGATATTAATTAAATTACAATGACGTATACGTAATGTATTTAATGTTAAATCATAAAATGGTTTTAATTCAAAATTTAAATCTTCTAAACATGATTCGATTTCAATTGATTGATAATTTATTGTTGAGAGAAAATTTGGAAAATTTGTTTGACCAGTACATTTTAATGATATTGTTGATTGACCATTGATTGAAAGATCTTCACATTCACATTGTTGATAAGATGATTGAGATGAATAGTAATCCGAACAGATCGATGATGATGAGAAATGAAGATTAATTAAATTTATGAGAATTAATAGAAATAAATTCGAGCTTAAATACATCTGAAAAAAGAATACAAATATATATATATTTAATCTAGATAGGAAAAATTTGTTTTATCGTTATCATGAGAAAGAGTGTGTTTCCGTAGTTGTTTTGCATGCAGATTTGATAAGAAATAGATATCTGATTTCAATAAAATTATGAACATATGGGATATTTATTACATACCGAGACTCGTGAGAGTATTGTCTCTGATGTCATAGACTACCTACAAGTAAATTGTTACTCTTTCGAAAGTTTTAAAATAATGGTTAATCTATACATGTGAATAGTAACTAACAAGAAAATGATTACGCAAATGTATTATCTTGTCTCAAGTTAAGAAAATGTCTTTGAAGAATAAAGTTTAAAAGAAAATCCTAATCTTTTGTAATGCGATATCTTCTATGTACAGATCATTCAATCAATAATTAACGATTAGATAGGTTCATTATGAATATAACGAAAGATGTTTTTATCAGTTAATATTGTTTAGTTTATATAAGAAAAATGCTTTTATACTTTATAATTGATAAATCTGATTTTGTACTCTTTTTTTTTGTTTATATGTCATGTTGATAGGAATGTTTAGTCGAGATTTATAGATAAGACTACGTGATATATACAGAAAAGAGAATGTTCATACAGAATAGAGCAGAGAGATCAATCTTTATTCGATAGAGTTGAACTTTAACGAGAAATATACAAGTTAATCTTTCAGAAACGATCATCATCATCATCATGATTCAGTAAATTATTACCTGAGGAAAAAAGAAGTTTTTTTTCTCTTTTTCTTAAGAATTGTTACATATTTTATTACTATTATATAAAATAAAAATCTGTTGTCATTTATGACTTCTTCAAGTAGCATTTATCAAAAAATAATAATAATATTCTTACCTTTCAAAACTCATTCGTGTTAATTCAATATTTAACTTTATAATCAAATAAAAAGCTATCGGAAATGACATTAATAAAACACTAAATGACTTTATCGTCGTTTTCTTTTATTCCTATGCACATATAGTCAAAACGATAGAAATAAAAAAGAAAAAGAAATGTTTAGAAAGTAATGTATCTTCTATGTTTTTTTAGTTATCTGAGACTAAGTATACTACGATTGATTGCCAATTGATTCTCTTAATATGCTCATAAAGAAGATGGTTAGTTAAGAAAAAAAAATTTACATTCAATCACATACCGGAACTGTTGATCTTTTCTTTTTTTTCTTCTTGTTTGAGTAAGAGAATATATAATATAAATGTTCATTCGTCCTCTCCTTCGTGCCTATTACTTGTAGGGCACCATCACTTGAATCGTATAGTAGTAGTAGTGGCTATTCTCTCTCGTCTTATTCTTACTCTTCTGGTAATCAGCTTCGCGTCGTTGAGGCTATTTTTTTTCTCTCTTGCTCTTATTCTCTATCGCTTTTTGCCCTGAATTAAAGAAAAGAGAAAATGTTAAGAAGCGGAAATGCACAACAATAAGACGACTATCGGTCAATAGAATATCCATTTCAAAAATGCTCTGTTATATATATATGTATACATATATATATATATGCGAGGTGAAGGTAATCTATGTGCACATGCACGTCAATAGATTTTTTTAAAACTTTACACGCTATTGTCAGTGAGATAGACAGATGGACATATAAGCTCAAAGGAGACAGAGGTAAAAGACTAAAGTTGAGTATGAATATATATATATATATACGAAGTTGACATGAAGTCATCATCCATCATACATTATTTGAAATGATAATATGTATGTATATTGGTATACTTTCTTCTCATTTATTTGTTTCTATCTTATTAAATTGATATCGAAATGATAAAAACTTAAGTAGGATATGATTATATTCATAATGAAACAAGAAACCATAGAATTTTCATAAGAAAAGTAATTCATTAATACAAATGCACGAGCGAACATAGCAAATAACTTACCATTATACTGCCACTTTTCTCATAAGATGTACGTCTGTATGAGGTGGGATGTCTGTTCAATGTTCACTTTTTCTTTCTCTTTCTCTCTCTTCTTCCTTTATCCTCGAATTCTTTCTCCCATCTAGATGCATACATTGCTCACCACATCGTCAAGAATAATGCCATTTTCTTTCATTAAAAACGAACTGAACAAGTGTCCCCCTCTTGTCGTTGGTGGTGGTACGCGCCTAGTTATATTTATACATATACATATTCATATATGTGGTATGTGAGTCGATGTGATGATGCAATAGTGTGACTAATGGATTGAATACGATGGCTAAATGAAACATGAAAGCTGTGTGACAATGTCTGGTCGAAGAAAAGCTTTTAAAAAAAAAACTTATCTATATCAAGGATATATATATCAACTGTTCTATATAAAATTGTCGCTTATTCTTATTCTCACTATTAAAACTACAAAACTGCGTAATCTTATTCGTGCACATAAACACACGCGTTGATTACATAAAAAAAAAATCTATATGATGGAAGTTACGACGTTGCTATCTTTTCTTTCTCATTCGATGTATGTCTAATTCCTTTGTTTGACCAAGGCAAGATCGAAGCTTGATGTTGTAATCAAGTCTATTCATTTTTCGCTTAAATGCATTCATTTTCTTTTCTAATAAATTCACTGTCATTCACTTGTAATTGATAATAATAAACAGAGCTCATCAACTTGTAAATGCAAGATGACCTTGTTGCATTCAACTGTTAAGAAAAAAAAATGAGTTTACGCAATTGGTATAAATATTTTTGTAGTTATAATGATCGTGTAAAGCATTTAAGATCGTTTTTCTCTTACTTGTTATTCTCATATATGTGTATATATATATATCTATATATATATACATAAACAATGAATAATGATGATCTTATTAATATAGTCAAGATGTGTCCACCTTGAAATAATAAGCAGATAGAAGTGATTGAAAAGAAACATTTGGAAGAGAGAGAATGAATATGGATAAGATAAAAAAAAAAGTCGAAAGAAAGAAAGGAGGAAGAAAAAAAAAGGAAGCTGAATATTCATACAACACTCATCATTCACTTGTCCTTGACCGATTCTAGTTCATCGAGAACTTTTTTTCTTTTCTTAGCAGAAATTTGATGCGATTTATAAACTAGTAACATTCATTAACGTTATTATGTATGGGAAAAGATCATTCGAAAATGTCGGACTCGTTTCTTTATTCTTAATCGATGTGAATAAATTAATGATATGCCAACACCACAATCATCATCATTACTTTGTCCAAGAACATACCACTACTCAGCAGGCCATAGTCCGAATACTGCTTAATAAGGCGTCCATCTCATGTTACATGAACATATATATATATATACGAACGCGTATATATGTATATATATGCACGCAGGGCGATGCTATTTACCTTGAGTAAGGTGGCTCTATCGATTGATGTATGCGACGTTCGAATAGTATAAATACTTGAACTGTCTTCGTTCTATCTGCTAATTGAAATGTTCGAGTTGATCGAACATATACAATGCTTTTTTTTATTCGCACCTCGTGGTTCATGGTCAAATGTTAGATTGCTGACGTAAAATGTTCCCTGATTCGTATACAGCTGGTTCTGTTCTCTATCCTAATACAATTCAATAAACATATAAGACAGTAGAACAGAGGAAAGAAGAAAAAAAAGAAACTCGCGGTTCACTTCATTTTCTTGTCAGAAAAAGAAACAAAAAAAAAAAGAGAGAATTTTATATTGACAGTGTTTATGAAGCTAAAACAATTCTTAACTATTATATGATCGAGACAATTTTCATTCAAGCATGTACCAGATGTGTTTAACAACGCCCGAGAGACCGTGACACAAGTGCGGTTAGTTCTATTTATCATAGAATTAGTTCAAAGTTGATGATTAATCTTCTCACGCATTGGAACCATCTGTCAAACAAAAAGGCAGAATATAACAAGAGAAGAAATTCATCCCGAATCTTGATAAGAAATAATATAGACAAGCATGCGATTATCATGAGAAAAAGAAAATGGATAATGAGTATTATGATTATTATCATCAAGATCAAAAAAAAAAGAAAAAGAAAAGATTCAAATCTTTTATCAATTTAATTTTTGTTTTCTTCTGTATTTCAATAGGATTCTCTTAATATATGGACATTTGATGATAAATTTCGAGCTACTGTTAAAGGTTCAAGTAATTCTAGTAATGAACGACCTATACTTACTGGCATGGCATGTGGACTTAATTCAACGTTATCTATAGCTGAAGGCACGAAGAAATTGCCTCCGTGTCCAGTCTTACTTCTTTCTAATAGTGATGGTGTTTTACAAGTCTATTATTATATTCATAAAGATTTACCATCTATATTGCGTGCACCTGAAGTAATCAAGCAAATTCAAGCACCTACTATCCTTGGAACACCAGCATCATTACCACAAACATCAAATATAACTTCAATTCAATCATCATTTTTACCATCACGTAAGTTTTCCTACTTACTTTACATAGGAGATAGAGAGAGAGAAAGAATATTTTCTTACTATTTATACTATTGCCCTATCTTTGTTAGTTTCGAGAAAATGTCGAGAAAATAACAACAACAATCTGTTAACCGAATATGATCATCATTAAGAGAGAGAAGAAAAAAAGAGATATTACATCATATCTATTCGGCATGGATTTCTGTAGTGATGAGTCGAGTGTCAGATAACAATCATATAGGAAAAATAAGGAAGAAGATTATCTAATAATGAACAGAAAGTTCAAGTAACAACAACAATCATCTAAAAAGATTGTATTAGTCTATTATACAGACAGATAATAATGTAAAACATTTGTTTAATAGAATACATCATTTCTTTTGACAATAATAGCTCATCGAAAATAATGTTATGATTTTCTTACCTAAATCTTTTTATTTAATGTTATCAATAACGACGCAAACACTCGATATATATATGATCATATAACACAAAAGAAAGAAAATATGTTGTTTTTTTTTCATTAGAATTTGATGAAAAAAACACAAATATCACTTGAGACTAAATGAATTATTGTTAATATAATAATGTTTTATATTAACCTTGGAGAATATGTTTTTGTTTTGTTTAATATCGTTACTCAAGAGATTAACTGAATTTTTTTTGTTAATCATAGAATCATCATCTGCTAATGGGTTTTCATTCGCAAAATCAGGTCCGACACCTACCCAAACACCAATTTTTACTTCTTCTCCTCAACCAAAAGAAAAAAGTACCAACAGTGTTCTTAATTTTAATCAACCACCTGCACAAATTCCAAATGGATCATCATTTGATGATCTTTCAAAAACGATAAGCACGAATATTATGAATAAACCACCAACTTCGTCTGCACAACAAGCACCAATAAAAAGTATATTAATATACTTCGTTTTTCTTATTAAATATTATCAATATTTTTTAGGTACAATCAGAAATGAACAACCAGTTTATGATAGTAAAAATCTTTTTCAAATGGTAAATAATCTTATAATAATTGTCTAATTGTTCTTCGATTTGTTATTGTCGTATTTACGATACGGAAACATTAAGTGAATGATATTTGAGATAAACAATGTTATATCTGATATCTTAGTTCCATATGTCACTCTACAATATGTAATCATGTCAGATATTTTACTCTATTCTTTACGAGGAACTTGCAATGATAAAGTATCTGGAGTCTGGATAGCGTGGGGGAAGGGGGAATCTGCAGTTTGAATAGGCCATACTTGTTTGGGACCTTTTTTTTGCTACAGTCGATATTGAATCATTGTATTATTTTTATAGGTCGATGAATTCCGTTCGAGATTGAAATTAGTAGAAAAACCATTATCAAAACAATCTGATTCATCGATCAATCTAGACAAATCTTTAGACGATTCAATAACCACACTTAAGAATATGGTAACATCAATTCAAGTAGGAAAAAGTTTTTATTGTTCATTTGAATAAAAATACAAAATAATTTCTTGCAGAAATCAATGCAATCGATAAAAACAATGACAAGTGAACATATAGAATCTATAACAAAAATTGAAGATGCTCGTCATCAAATGAAATTAAGTCAAACAGAAAATCTTTATAATTTATTAAAAGATCGTCAACTTGACCCATGGACACAATTGCGTCTTGATTCAATTAAAACGAAATATGATTCACTTAAACATGATCTGAACGTTTTACTTCAATTAACACATACAACAATTCATAATAAATCTTTATCAGTAACTGATGATGACATTGAAAATGAGTTCGTGAAGAAAATAAATTTATAAATTTTATTTTATTGTTCTTATTTATTTAGGGATTTTTTACCAGATTTAGAAATATCACTGAATACAAGTGGAACAATGAAACAACAAATTCAAAAACGTATACGTGAACTTAGCCATAAAGTAACTGAAACAGACAAAGATTTACAAAATATTTGTTCAAAATTAAATAGAGATTTATCGATTAGCAAAACATCTGAGTAAGATATCAAATACAACATTTGTAATATTATTTTTTGATACATTATTTGTTTTATAGTAAAATGCCGATATCATCGGATCGACCATTTCATTCTTTAGATGCTCAAATTTTATCACATTTACAAGCTAATCATAAAAATATTTTAAAAATTAATGTACCACCTGCTGTTACAATCAATTTATCATCATCATCATCATCATCATCAATCGAATCAAAAAAACCATCGATAATTGAAATATCGAAACCAATTACACCTTCTACTCAGTCACCAATACCTAAACAACCTAATTCACCATCGGTTGATTCTGAAAGTTATAAAAATATATTTCGTATTGTTCGAGCATCCATTGACTTATTTTCTGGTGCAACAAGTCCTGAACAATTACAAGAATTATCAAATACCGCTGCAACAAGTCCATTATCAGCAACAAACAAATCTCATATGACATCAATTCATAAAACTCCAACTATTTCTAAAACACCAACAACAAATCTTACAAAAACATCATCTATTAATAAACCATTACAGACTACAAATATTTTACAAACACCTGCAAAATCGATGACTTCACCAATACCAACAATATCTGTAACACCTGCAACGCCAGCTACACAACCTATTTCATCAAATGCACCAGTGACACTTCAACAAACTAAACCTGGTACACAAACACCTACTGATTTAAGCAAATTTCAAACAACATCGACATCTGGTGATAGTACTATTCGAGCATTACTTAATAATACAGTTTCTCCTCTAACAAATACAGCATCATTACCAAATCAACCAGTAAATGCTTCGACGTCAAACCAAGCCGTACCATCAACACTTTTTGGAAATTCTTCTAAATTAGGTCAATCAGCTTCATCTGAACTAGCATCAATAGCTTCAACTCAATTATCGTTTGCTGCTACATCACCTTCTTCAACAATTACAACATCAGTTCAATCAACTTCGCCAACAACAAAACCTGTCGTACCCTCTAGTCCAGGTGCATTCGGCTCTAAGCTGCCATTCGGTGGTACTTCACTTAATTTAACATCGACTTCATCCAGTATTCCATTTGGTGGCACTGCTGCAACAACAACTACAACAACAACAGCTGCTTCTAGTCCATTTGGTAGTGCATTTGGCTCTGGTTTTTCAATTACAACAACTTCAGCTTCAAGTCCTGGTCCATTTGGTACTACAACCTCAACAACTTCAAGCCCATTCGGTAGTTCAGCACCTTCAGCTTCAAGTCCATTCAGTGGTGCATCCACAACTACTACAACTTCAGCCCCTACTACTGGTATATTTGGTTCTTCGACAACTTCAACTTCAGCTCCTACTGCGGGTATATTTGGTTCCTCAACAACTACAACCTCGAGTATTTTCGGTGGTGCATCCACCGCTGCCGTAAGTTCAGCTCCTACTACTAGCATATTTGGCGGTGCAACAACATCAACTGCTAGTCCCTTTGGTACTGCTGGATCAACTACAGCTACCAGTCCATTTGGTGGTACTCCAACAACTTCAAGTTCTAGTGCTGGTGGATTTGGTGCTAGTCCTTCAGTAGCATCTCCATTCGGTTCTGGCTTTGGCACAGCAACATCAACTTCTACTGCTAGTCCATTTGGTAGCTCATTCGGTGCTACATCTTCAGCACCTACAGGTTCAGTATTTGCTGGATTTGGTTCTACTTCAACAACACCAACATCGAGCACAGGGGCACCTGCTAGCGGTATTTTTGGATCAAGTACCACTGCAGCACCATCAACTGGTAGTTCGGGATTTGGTGCTGGTCCATCATTTGGTAGCAGTTTTTCTGGCTTCAATACACAATCAAAATCTACTGGATCACCGACTGGCTTTCAATTTGGTGGATTTGGTGGTTCTCAATCTTCAGACACAACGGCACCACAACAAACCTTTGGATCTTTCGGATCAACATCGGCTGCATCACAACCTTCAACTACATTTGGTGGTTCAGTATTTGGAGGAGCATCTACACAACCAACTGGTTTTAGTGGTAATTAATCAACTTGTAAAATATTTTTTTTTGATTCTTTTCTTTTTTAGCACCAGCCACACCTTTTGGTGCTCCGTCAACACAATCAGCAACTTCACCTTCATTTACAAGTTATCGTAAATAAAACTGTCCACAAACAACTATACATATATTTTTTTTTCTTCACTGTCTTTTCTGTAATTAAAAAAAAAAACAAATTGTCTCTCACACATTATATTAATTTGTCTTTTCTCTTTTTCCTTTTGTGAAAACATAAAAACATGTGTGTGATTAAAATAAACAAGAATAAATACGTGTGATACCAAAATAAAAAATAGGTATGTAGACAGAGAGTAGTCTGAATTGAGTTCTGATCATCGAAATGATCATCTCACTCATTTAACTTCATGTTGCTGACCACAGGCTTTCACAACTTTCTCAATGATAAGAGCATCTCAACGAATGTTGATCTTGTACTCGAATATTATCATTGAGAAATCACTTCACTCGGAAGCTTTCTGATCACCTGCCATACGTTAAACGCATGGAACCCTGCTAGAGTCTCGATTGGTCTTTATCTCAGACCTTCCCAAGGATAGATATATATGAGTGACATTAAATAGCACTCGTTTGTAATCCCTGTGAGTAAGCTTCAACCTACATACACGAATTTTATTATTCGATACTTTCAACTTATATAATGAAACATTTCTACAAAGAAAAAGAACGGTGAATAACGATGAAATCTTCGGTAACGAGTGACACCTTTGAACTGAATGTCGCCAGAAATAAATGAATATATACATACACCTATGTATGAAGTTAAATAATAAATGAAAATAAGTATTTTGTTTGTAATAATTATTATTGTATAAAACGATAAAAAAAAACTTTTCAACGACTTTATTTAAATTTTATTCTATATGATGTAATCATATATTCTAAAAGATGGTTATACTGTCTTAGCAAATAAACAAATCTTTTTTTTATATTCTGGTAAGTATAAAATATATCGAATATCATCATCATGTTGTAATCAACACTTTAAATCTTTTCTTGTACCAATAATATGATATATAGTATTTCAAATACGAAGAAAGTGAATTTAATGTTTTTAAATGTATAACAAATTGAAATTATTCACTAGATCATATTTATAAAGTTACCATCAAGTCAGTTAAGCATATTCAGTCAATTGATAATTTGAAATTATCCTATATAAACAAAGACTTATCTAGAATTTTCATACGGCTCCATTTAGAAAATAATTTCTAATAAATCAATATGCATGAAGAGTAAAATACATTTCTTAATAAAAGAAAATCAATCTGTGAAATTGTTTTTGCCATGGTCTTTAATTTGTATCATAGTTTAATTGTTAATTTCTTCGAAAATATTTCATTGTCTAACAGAGCCATCTGTCTCTATATTAGCAAACTTTTATTCTATTTGTTACTGTTGATAAGTAATCGTCTACGTGCATGCAGTTGTATATGAATGTGAATGAATCAATTAGAGTCAATTAAAGTAACTCACATTCCAGTTCTGTTACTTAGTAATATTCCATAGATAACATTCTATTGTCATGTTTTAGATGACTGAAGTACATTCATTTGGCAATCTTCCTGTCATTGCTCATGCTTGGAATAAAGATCGGACACGTATGCTCTTTCTTTTTATTTATTTTAAACTCCTTTTTTTTATCTATATAATTTTATAGAGATTGCCGTTTCTTTGGGTAAAAATGATCTTCGTATATATAATAAACAAGCTGGTAAATGGAAATTAACACATACATTATGTGAACATTTATCACGTGTATTAGCAATTGATTGGGCACCTAAAACGAATCGAATTGTTACTGCTAGTGCTGTAAGAATTCTTATCATTTACATTAATAGTATATATATATATTTCATTAGGATTACAATGCATATGTTTGGACATTTGAAAATGATACATGGAAACCACAAATGGTTGAATTACAACGAACAAGTCGCGCTGTTTGTTGTGCTAAATGGTCACCGGATGGTAAATCTTTTTGATATTAAATAGAATCAATTTTGTCTTTTTTGGTCTTTCTAGAAAATAAATTTGCTATTGGTTCAAGTGATAAAAATGTAGGTATATGTTATTATGAAACTGAACAAAGATTTTGGGCAGCAGAAATGATAAAGAAAAAACCAAAATCAACAGTAACTTGTCTTGCATGGCATCCAAATAATCAATTAATTGCTGTTGGTAGTTTGGATTATCGTGTTCGCATTTATTCGGGATATGTAAAAGCTGTTGATAATAAAGCAGAGACATCCGCCTGGGGAAAAATTACAAATACAGGAGAATTATTACATGAATTTCCATGTGGTATGAATTTATATATATTTCTTTTCAAATAGAATGATGTTTATTAATTTAGAATCGGGTTGGACTCATGATGTTGCTTTTTCACCATCAGGTGAAAATCTTGCATGGGTATCACATAATTCAATAATATTTGCTGTTTCATCAAATAATCCATCTAAGTTAGTTTTTCGATTTAAAATCTTATATTTTACAAAAATAATTTTTTAGAACTACAATGGAAATTACAAATTATCTACCATTCCGTTGTATTATTTTTGTTAGTGAATCAACAATCATTGTTGCAGTAAGAAGAGAAAATCAAGGATTTTTATTTATTAATTGAAGATATTTGATTTTTGTTTTAGGGTCATGAATTTTCACCATTGATTTATAATTATGATGAACGAAAAGGAACAATTGAATTTGTAGAAAAACTTGATTCACAAGAAACATCAACTGGAAGACAATCAATTGGGTTAGAATTTTAAGATTTTAGATTATTCTTCTATTCACATATTTCTTATATAGAGAAGAAAATGAATTTTTTACGCCATATCAGGCCTCGTATGAAGGATAAAAAAGAGTGTGTTTGCAGTGTTTATTTTTCTGCATGAAAGTCTTGCATTTTCATTTTACATAGTTAAAAGTTCATTATCTATATATGTTTGTTTTTTGTCTTAGTCGTCTTTTTGATCAACCATCAATGCAAACACAAACACCAGAACCTGTATCAACTCATCAAAGCATGATCACGTGAGTTCATATGTTTTTACTTTCGAATATATCTTCTTGTTTTTTGTTTAGACAAATCGTTCCTTATCAAACAGAAAATACGAATTTAGTAAAAATAAGTTCAGCTGATTTATTTGGTCAAGTTGTAATTTGGAATTTAAGTGGCAAAGTAAATTTACTTAATAAATAAATATATATTTCATTTTTGTATTTTATATAGAAAATAAAAAAATAAATAATTTTTAATCAATATACATGAAAATTAAATGAACTTTTTATGCTTGAGCTTGATAGTGTGTGTGTTTCATTATAATTATTGTCCACGATTCGCACATAATTCGCTGATTTGTGCAATCATGCTTGTGTTTGTATTTTTCTATGAATTTTATTCACATTCTTGAAATTTTTTTCTCTTTTTTTTTTAATCTGTTACTTTTGATTTGACTTTGCTGTTTATCATATTAATATAATTCTTCCATTAAAAATAAAAACATGTTTATTTGATATTTAATAAAAATATATTACAAAATTTTAATTCTCCTTTTTCTTTTTCTTTTCAGATTTATTGATAGTATGAGAAATTTTCATCACAGTAAGGTACATTGTACTTGTCCTTTACTTTTTATTCACTAATAAACTACCATATATACGTAATGTTAATAAAAAATAACAGCATGTGTTTTGACCTTGATCGTTCATTTTGTAGTATGTTTGATGAAAAATAAACGTTCATATAATGTAAAAATCAAATTCGTTTTTAAAACATTGGACTTTATCGATCAAATATCATAAAAGAAATGTTTTTATAATTTATTTTTTCTTCTATTGTTCTTATGTAAATATTTCTTTTGATATGAGAATCAGCCAACTGTTTGGTTTAGGTAGTAGAGTAGTATACTTCTTTTTCTTTCTATTTATACTAGCTCGTAAAAAAAGATTGGAGGAAGAAAAAAAACCAAGTTGACTGTTTTTATATATTAACACTATTGCAAATATCAAAATAAGTTCAAGAAATAAGAAGAATATACTATTACATTTATATATTTTAGATGATTGAATTCTTTCTGAATACTAATGAATTCCTGATTTCTGTTGTTCAGATTTGAGAATATCGTATTGAATATAATTTATTGAACTGATCTCAAAATATTTATAATTATTTAGAGAATAAGAATATTTTCATAATGATGTCATTTCTTAGTTCCGATGCTGCATGTCGTTACACATCACAAGAAATTATAAAAATGCTACAAACAGATTCTAAATTAGGTTTAAATGATAATGAAATTCAAACAAGACGAAAATATTATGGTGATAATGATTTTGAAAGTGATGAAGAAGAACCTCTATGGAAAAAATATTTAGGACAATTTAAAGAACCAATGATTTTACTTTTACTTGCATCAGCATTTATTTCATTAGTAATGAGACAATATGATGATGCATTATCAATCACTATAGCTATTATTATTGTTGTTACTGTAGCATTTATACAAGAAAATCGTGCTGAAAAAGAAATTGAAGCATTAAAACGACTTATACCACCTAAATGTGTTTGTATACGAGAAGGAAGAAGTCATCATATTTATGCAAAAGACTTAGTACCTGGTGATTTATGTATCTTAGAAACTGGTGATCGTATACCAGCTGATTTACGTTTAACTGAAGCAAATGAATTATCCGTCGATGAATCATCATTCACAGGTGAAACAAAACCATCCATTAAAACAGTAGATCCAATTGAATTTGGTTCAAAACAAACGTCCATTAGTGATCGACGAAATATTACATTTATGGCTACACATGTACTTAGTGGAAATGGAAGAGTTAAAAAGAAAATTTTCTATTAATATTTATAAATTTTTTTATTTTCAAAGGGTATTGTGATATGTACAGGTGAAAATTCAGAATTTGGAAAAGTATTTAAAATGATGCAACAACAAGAAGTAGAACGAAAAAGAAATTTTCTTTGAAATATAAATAAATTGTATTTTGTTTTTGTATCTAGGCACCAAAAACACCATTACAAAAGAGTATGGATGCATTAGGAAAACAATTGTCTTTTTATTCATTGAGTATTATTGGTTTTATTGTTGTGGTTGGATGGTTACAGGGTAGACATCTTCTTGAAATGTTTACTATCGGTGTTAGGTATGTACAAGATAGAACAAACCTAATGAAATAAGAAGTCGGATCTCATCCAATAAACTGTAGACGTTACGATTATTCTTCTTCATCATTGACAGAGACTAATGCGAATATAAATTGAATATCTTTAAAAATTTCTTCAATAATTTGTACTTTTAGTTTGGCAGTAGCTGCTATTCCTGAAGGTTTACCAATAGTGGTAACTGTCACATTAGCACTTGGTGTTCAACGTATGGCCAAACGAGAAGCAATTGTTAAAAGATTACCCATTGTTGAAACACTCGGTTGAGTAGAAATATCTTTGTCTATATTTATATTTATATTTTCTATATATATATTATTAGGTTGTGTAACAGTGATATGCTCAGATAAAACAGGAACATTAACAAAAAATGAAATGACTGTAACAAATATTCTAACATCAGATGGAGAAATGGCTGAGGTATATTTATAAAAGAATTAAGAAATATATATACATTTCAATATGATTTATTAGGTTACAGGTTCAGGTTATAATGGTGAAGGTGATGTTCTATGTAATCATGAACGTGTTACTTATGATTCTCATCCAATAATTTCAAAAATAATTGAAGTATGATATTTATTTATTTCTTAATAATTTCAATACTATTAAATAACCTATTTTCATTAGGTCGGTGCTGTTTGTAATAATGCTGAAATTATTAATTCACAACTACGTGGCCAGCCAACTGAAGGTGCTTTAATTGCTGTTGCTATGAAAGTAAGTCTCCGATTTTTTGTGCTATTATTCTAATAAAACGAAATAACACATATTTTATTAATTAGATGAATCTTCCTCATCTTCGTGAACAATTCCATCGTGAACGTGAATGGCCATTTTCACATGAAAATAAATGGATGGCTGTACAATGTTCACCAAAATATAATCTAGTTTGTCTTTCTATTCATCAATTAATTCAAACTTTTTTTTTCCATGAAAATTTTCTAGAATGAAATACGTTTATATGTAAAAGGATCAATTGAACAAATATTACGATTATCTAAACGATATATACATCATGGCACAACTATAGCATTAAATGATGAAAAAGCTCGAGAATTTATTATGGATTCAAATCAAATGGCAGCCAAAGGACTACGAAGTATAAACTCAGTTTTTATTTAATACTGTTATTATTTATGAAACAACGAAAAATTAACTTTTTTACTTGTAGTTCTTGCTATGGCAACTGGAACTTCACTTGAAGATTTGACATATGTTGGCATGGTTGGAATAATTGATCCTGAACGTCCACAAGTTGAAGAAGCTGTTTCTCAATTGAAAACAGGTGGTGTTAGTGTTAAAATGATAACAGGCGATGCTGAAAAAACAGCTAAAGCAATTGGTAATATTTTCGTTAACGAAAAAAACAAACTTTAATATTTCACTCGATTTTAATTTAGCTACGCGTTTAAAAATATATAATGGTACTGATTTATCTGTATCTGGTGAAGATCTTGATCATATGAGTGCAACTGATATTCAACATATTGTTTCACAAGCAACAATATTTTATCGTGTTAGCCCAAAACATAAAGTAAAAATTGTTACAGTAAGTTCTTTTTTCTTGTTGATTTAAATTTATCAATATCATATTTTCTTCTACTAGGCTTTACAAGCACAAGGACATATTGTTGGTATGACAGGTGATGGTGTGAACGATGCTGTTGCACTTAAAGCAGCTGATATTGGTATAGCTATGGGACAAACAGGAACAGATGTATGTAAAGAAGCAGCTGATATGATTCTTGTTAAAGATGATTTTTATACGATAATGTAAGATTAAATATTTTTGAAATTAAACCATTTATAATAGTTCATATTTAGGGCAGCGATTGAAGAAGGTAAAGCAATATTTCATAATATAAGAAATTTTGTACGATTTCAATTGAGCACGTAATATTAAATAGAAATAAATGAATATTATTGTTTTATTAAATTTCTTTTTCTTTTCAAGGAGTATTGCTGCTTTAAGTTTAATAACACTTTCAACAGTTTTTCATTTTCCTAATCCATTAAATGCTATGCAAATTCTTTGGATTAATATTATCATGGATGGACCACCTGCTCAAAGGTTTGTATATCATATTTTTGTTTTAATTTGAAAAAAAGAAAATCAATGAAAAAAACATTTAGTCTTGGTGTTGAACCTGTCGATCATGATGTATTAAAAAAACCACCAAGGAAAGTAACTGATTCAATGATTGATCGTCCTTTAATTATTCATATAATTACAAGTGCAACTATCATTGTTGTTGGAACTTTATGTGTATTTTATGCTGAAGTATGTTACAATTAATTATTTAGTTAATTTTATATCGATTTAATTTAAGATGAGCGATGGAAAAGTAACACCAAGAGATACAACAATGACATTTACATGTTTTGTATTTTTTGATATGTTTAATGCACTAAGTTGTCGATCACAGGTAAAAAAGAATGCATAAGAAAACAATTATTTTAAAAAAGTCTTTCTATTTTTAGACAAAATTTATTTTTGAAATTGGACTTTTCTCAAATCGATTTTTTGTTGTTGCTGTATTTCTTTCAATTCTGGGACAATTAGCTGTTATTTATTTACCTCCATTACAATATGTTTTTCAAACAGAAGCTCTTAGTGCTGCAGGTAGATAAACACTAATATTATTCAGAGATATCAATATAGTTTATTTGAATTGCTTTCAGTGTCATTTAATCTGTATGAGTTTTTTCAGTGACATTAAAGAAAAGCTCAATAATGAATTCGTTTCTATTTTTTATTTATTTAGATTTATTCTATCTAACATGTTTAACATCATCTGTATTTCTTGTTAATGAATTCCGTAAATTAATCTCGAGAATTTTTCTCAAACGTCGTAATAATCATAGAATTATGGAAAATAATCAATGGATGGTTTAATATGCAGATACAGATTTATTTTTCTTTTCGTAACAAACAAACTATTTTTTCTCACCGTATTCAGTACAAATCGAAGACTTTTTACATATTGTAAATTGTCAATTACTCTGTCTGTTTTACTTTAATTTATTTAAACTTTTATTGTTACTTTTTGTCGTATATCTGTTGAATCTTTTTTTTTGCAAAAAATAAAACATAAAAGTATCATTTGACTTTGATTAACAATATAAAAGAAATTGTATTTTAAAAGATCTAACTAGCATACTTATATTCATTATACTTTCAAAATGCAAGGATTTTGTTTAGATTTCAACAATGTATCTATATATAGAAATTACAAGTTCTCTTATGATAAAAAGATCGAAGGTAGGTCAGGATCCGTCAGTTCAACTATGAATTAGATTTTTAGTGTTTTCAATGATATTTTTAAATTTAAATAAAAAAAAACATAATTCAAATGATCGTTTTACTAAATTTTCTGATATTATTTTCATACTTTTATCATCAGTGGAATTGATCAAAATTGATCGACATGAATAATTATAATAATGTTTATGATGAGATGAATTAATTTACCTAAGATGTAAAGTGCTGCTTAATCTATAAGATAGATAAATCTTACACAAATTGATTGATAATACTCTGAAAAAAAAGTTCTGTATATAACCAAAAGCTTCAAATTGTGTCAAAAGTCTCAAAATAAATCAGAATTTGAAAAGAAATATATTAACTGCCTTAAATAATTAGAAAACAAAGATGTTTGTCATAGTTATTTTTGAATGCCAAAAAGAACAGTTTTCATTAGAATAAACGACTTACATAAGAAGAATCTTTTAGGTAATTAAAAGTCTATTTTAATGTAGCCTTTGTACACCATCAAACTATTCCTGATCATATTTTTCATACATTGACTCATCTATTCTATCAAAGTAATGTCACAGACAGTGGCAAAGTAATATATTTGTTGACCTTGATGGTTATGCACGTATGGAAGATTTTTATTCTGCTCATGCATCAAAAAGAAGAAGCAAATACATTAATGACTGGTGTAAGCAATCTTTATTAATTTATTAAAATAAATTTTTTAATAAAAAATTATTTTAGTTTGTATACGGTAATATCGTGTATCTGAATTAATGCTTTGTGATGGAACTTATACATTAACAATGGAGATGTGGTCAGTAGGTTGTATACTTGATGAATTTATATTTGGTCAACCGTTATTTCCTGCCCGTTATTATTTGGATTAATTACATCTTGTTATATTAACTTCATCTTAGTTCGTTCATATCAATTATGTGACATTCGTCAAATGCTTTCTTTTCAAAATAGTGCAACTTGTTTATCAATAGTAAAATGATAAACCATTTAGATTTATTAAACAAGCATGAATGGCGGAAAATATAAATACAGAGAAGAAGATAGATTATTATTAAAAGTAGAAAAAGAAGATTTTTTGTTAAGTTTTTTTCATTAAAATTCTAGCGAAGGAACGTTTTTTTTCTTTCGTTTCTTCTGCTATTGTGGAAGAGGTTGATATTAACAGATATTACTTTTGACTTGTTTTCAGATGTCATTCGAACAAAACTATCAAGCTTTGATACACTGGTATCGAAGCAAATACGATTTAAATACCACCAATACAATTGTAATTTCCACTCATGCTGTAATGATTAGTAATGGCTTTTTTTATATGATAATAATAAAGTAAATAATATTTATGAATTAGTATAAAATATTTTTTAGTTTCATAGCAGGCAATATACATGATCGTCAATTTTGAAACATAGGTACCATCCAGTAGTTTCGTATTTGAGTATGACAAAAAGAACGTCAAAGTTAGTACTGAAATTAAAGAAACATCATCTGATTTTACGGTAAGATTGATTATTTATTAAGAGTATCATCATGATATATTTATTTTAGATAAATAATTTGTACAGTAAATACATAATAATTCTAAAAGAATTATATTTCAATTTAAATGGCTTATTGTAAGTTAATTTACAAATATATGATATTTTAATAATTCATTTATGAAAAATGTTTCTTGATTTGTTCATTTAGAAGAAATAATAAAATAGTAAAACCGTGTAAAGAATACTAGAAGAAGATAAAAGTCGTCGATGAATACAATAAAAGTTGCCTACTCAGAACGATGATTCCTGATGCAGTAATCCACGAATTTCTAGCGAAAACCGCTAGGAAACCGACAGTTTCAATTCGTAACCCTCTGGAAAAACCGAGAAATCTGGTACAAAGATCCGGCTGCCACTTTGACAAATGAAATTAGAGAGGGTCGACAAAAGCTTTTCTTTTTTTTCTTTTTTTCTTTGTTATTGAAGAAGAAGTTGATATCAATAGATATTACTTTTGACTTTTCTTCAGATGTCGTTTGAACAAAATTTATCAATTTTCAAAAATTACTACAAAAGTAAATATGATGCAAACCTTATCAATAAGATAGTCATGTTTAATCATGCTGTTAAGAGGGTGTGGGTGTACTATTAATCATTCACCCACACTCACACCCATTCCATCCATTACACCCACGACAACCACTACACCCAATACACCCACGACAATCACTACACCCATTACACCCACGACAACCACTACACCCTCAAGATCTACGAATATGATCGTCGAATTTGAACTACAAACACCATTAGGATATTACTAATTTGACTATCATAATATGAACGTCATAGTAAATGTAGAAATCAGGTAAACAACATCAGATGTTATGGTGTATTTAGAGGTAAAGTTGATTGTCAGTAATAACATCGGCATAATGCATCTATTTCAGAGAGATGGTATTTTTAGCGAACATATTATAATTGAAAAACAATTGTATTTCAACGTCAATAATGAATTGTAAGTAAATTTTACAAATATCTATTATTTTAATAGACCATCCGTGAAAAATGATTATCTATTATTTATTTAGAAGAAATAATAAAATAGGACAACTGTACAATAAATATGGAAAAAAAATGTATAGATGAATACAACAAAAATGATTATAAGTATTCACTTACAAATGTTGGCATAGATATGCGCAAATTCAACTTTTTATTAAATTAAGAATTTTACTATTCAACTAAATTTTGTTTTAGCATTAACAATTTCAACAACAACTACAACACCAAAAGAAAATATAAAGTAAGTTGGTACTATAATTTCTAAAATTCTTTTTTTAATAGTGATGCACCTTTACATATACCTAATCTTGATAAAGTAAGATCAACAAATAAAAAATGTCAATATTTGTAACTTTCAAATTTATTTTTATTTTTCAGATATTGGATCCGGAAAAATCTACTCGAGATGTTTTATCATGTTAGCAAGGAATAAATCGGTTATGATAAAAAAACTAAGAAGCTATAACAATTGATGAACTTTGAATTTAAACATGTTACAGTTAAATAAAAAGAAAAAAATGTATTGTCTTTTGCTTTTTCATTCATTCATATTTAAACATAAGCAGCACTTAGAAAAAATTTCTCTTCTTTATCTATCTTCAACCAATGCGTATATATTTGAAAATATTATTATATGCATTTTTTTCTCTTTTAATGATGCTATTAAACATTTATCTATCCATTATAGGAAGACACAAGTTCAATATACATAACATGTAGTCTAATGTCATCTTGATCAATATAAAATACGAACAATACTTCTAAATCATATTCGGAAGTTCTTTTATTTATGAGAAATGAATAAAAACATGTAACATACTTTTATTAGTAAGGAAACAAAAACACAATAATAATCGAATTTCAAAAATGTTAATAAGTTGCGTCGTTATTTTATTCTTTTAACCCAAAACCGTTCAATCTAGAAGTGAATGTGAGTGTGAGTGCTAGGGTGAATGTCAGAGAAAAACGAATAGTTACACCCACACCCACACACCCACCCTGATTGCCAAAATTCTCTGAAAGAGATTCCAAACGTCGTTAGGAGGGTGATAGTTGAGCTCCATTTTCCTCCCCTAGCTTCGCCACTGCTTACTGCTCCGCGTTCTGTGTAAAATTTCTGATTTTTTGGTAGACTGTCTCTTGCGTTCTATTATCAACAAAATTATATCGAGATAACAGTACACGAAGACGTTTGTCATTGAAGAAAACACTATTTTTCTTTTTCTTTTTCTTTCTTGAGAATAATGTGCAAACACAAAACACAAAGACGGAGCATACTTAAATAAATGTTTGTTCATTTTTGAATTTAATGTTTTTTAGAATATTACATGGACACTCAAAGTGAGTGGAACCAACTTGTATTCGACACTAACAAACCAGCCAAATGGTGGCATCAACGTCGAGCTAAAATCATTGGAATTTCTTTTGTAATTTTCGTAGCTCTCACAATTTCCGTAGTTTTAATTCTAGAATTTTCCATATGGTCTCCAAAAAATTCATACAGCACTACTACCACTACCGCTCAACCATCCGGTAAGTGTTTGACTAAACTAGCTCAAATGCATATGACATAAATAGTCTGCTCTTTTATATTTCAAATTGAATTTTAGAAAAAGTTGGCCACCGTCAATAGATATAGCGAGGGACTGGGGATATAACGAAACTACAATTTTCATCGCGCATACAGATATATAGCGCTCGTTGAGGGTGACTCGCTTGATTCTTGACTGAATTACTAATTAAAGATTAAAGACAAAATAATCTTATGGCATCATTTTCATGAAAACGATAGAAACATGCCTCTAGAAATATCTTCTCGAGTATCGCGCTCACTCATGCACGTGGTGCTGCACAAACAAACGAGAAGTAACGATAAGGTCATTTTCCTACCTAAAATATTTTTCAAAAAGAGTTATATACTCTGAATTAGCATCAAATTCTATGCAGAGACAACTTTCATTTTCGAGACCTATATTCTCTAGTTCTACTCAATCTTACAACATCGGACGCGGACTTTTATGCTGATTCCGTATACCAGATTCAAATTTGAATAATACGAAACGTTTTTAGAAAAAA